GAATAGATAGTAAAGACTGAAGATGCAGACTAATATGTAACTGACAGACTGTAAGGAACTAGCTGATAAGGAAATAATAGGAAACGCTAAATATTAGACTAGAAGAGTTATTAATGGACTTCAAAAAAATGGATCTTACAGCCTTCAAAGGATAGGTATACACTAAGAAAATGCAGCAGAGGAGGAAGCTGGGCTGATCAGCATATCATGCAAGAATCTTAAGGATTAGTAAAACTGAAGTATGATTTTTAATTTTTTTTTTTTTAATAATGACAGGCAATGGTGAGATGAAAGAGATAAAAACATCAGTACAGACAAGGTAAAAGAGGTACTTGGAGCCTTTTTCTTTATATATATATATTTTTTTACATACAGACATATTATAATCTAGCTCAGTGGCAGTGTGGCCAGCCAAAATAAGTGTCCTGCTAACAAACTTGACATGAATGACAATGACTCTGTGTCACTCACTCTATTAGAAGATGCATGAGATAATTTAGTTCAACAGAAGTTGGGAAATGTGCTACTTATCCAGGTTACTGAGGAGACCTCAAAAACATAATGCACAGTTCTTGTCGACCTATGCCCAAAAGTAGGTGACATCAAATTAGAACAAGCACAAAGAAGGGTTATATGAGTGTGATCAAAAGACAGAAATACCATTCTAAAAGGGCACCGACAGAGCTTAGATTGTTTCATTTGGTGGCAGAGCGCTAAGACAAGAAGTCTCTATTATTCTCAGGGGACAACAATTTCAGAAAAAAATGCTAGTATGCTTACTGACAAAACTAAGACATAACCTATTCCCAACTTAAAGAAAAGTCTCAGCTGTGAACAAAAGAACTCATAAAAAGAAACCAAGGCATGAAACCATGGACAGAGCAGTGACAATAAAAGGTCTCATAAAATGACATATTAGAGTCTCCTTCAGGACTGTAAACTGAATACAATTCACAAGTCAAAAGTCTTTATGCCAATGTCAAAATATGGTGTTTTTAAAAAGCAAGAACTGTTTGTCAAAGGAAGGAGTATTAAATAAAACCCGTAACTGTAACTATCCCTGAAATCCCATGAACTATTAAACACAGAGATGGTAATACAGGGAGGGCATAGTTCAGAACGATGTAAGGAGATTAATAAACATTGTTGAGATACAGTGGAATAACTTTGCCTGTATCACCCAGCAATTTTTTTCTGAAGGAAAAACACAACTAAAACTGGGTAACAGCTCACAAATGCCCTGTAGGCTGCAGGCAATGAGGAAATCTTGCTTTCAAATTCTGAACAACCAAGTGTCTTCTTTATGCAAGAAGATTAAATTTCTTTGGTCTTTAGATACCTCTTGATATAACCCCTCTACCTTTGGGGGGGAAAAGACCATCCTCCAGTACATCTGTGGCTTACAACTCATTTGTGAGTATCTTTCAGTATGAGAACTAAACAAACCAACATAGAACCACAGAATGGTTAGAAGACATGACAGAAGACAGACATTTGCTTGGAGGTTTTTCTTCCTTGTATGTTAAAACATATAGATATAACATAAAACCCAGGAAGACAACGTCTTCAAGTGCCTCACCTGAGTAGTTGCTAATCCATTACTGATGTTGAATCCATTGATAGTTATCTGAATTTGCCCACGATTAATCATCTCAATCACAGCTTCTGCAATTGTGTTCATAGGAATGACTGGCATACTGAGGGCAGCATTGCCATCTGCATTGTCACAACTGTCAGGACACTTCATCTACGATAAATCACATACACATCAGAGAAAGTACTAGCTTCAGTCCCTAAGACTGACCACACAAAGAAGCAGCTCTCACCTTAACAATCTTGACATCAGGGAGGCTGTCAAGGAAAGCCTTCAAGTCAATGCCGTTCAAAACAATTCTGTTATCATAAATGTGACCGTTGGACTTGAAATCAATGACTGCTTTTTTCTGTTAAAAAAAAAGTGATAAAGAAGTTACAAGATCCATTATCAAGTTCTATAATAAGTGCCGTTTTATAAAGACAGCTATGGACAACACCTACTTTTCTTGCCCTATCTTCCTACATACCTTCAGATGGGGGAACATGTTGGCGTGGTCTCCAATAAAGAAAGTATTTGGCATATAAGCTAATTTCTCTGAATACTGCTCAGCCACCTCAACTGGGGAAGTTTCTTTATCTGTGATGATATAATCCATGAACAGTGCTCCGCTGGTTCCAGGATACCCTAGCCACATTGCCTAAAAAAAAAAAGCAAGCAAGGCTCCAGTCCCAGGTGCATTGCAAAAATAAAGGAAGTTAAAAATCAATGCATTTTAAGCTAAATTTTCAACCTACAGATTCAAGTTCCTTCTTGTGCTTTATTAACTAAAGGGCAATCACTAACCCAAAACTTTCACTAACAAGACAGTGTACAGTGAAAGGATGTTCTAAAATTGACTGCTCAAGCAAAACGCTGAAGTATCCAACTATGTGCAGCTACAGCCAGAACACATCAGTGATTACAACTTCTCTTAGCTGAGACAACTTCTGTAGCCTAGACTGACTCTGATTCAGGCTTCTCCCATTCTCCCTCCATAGGCATTTTAGAAAACCCTGAGTTAAAAAAGTAACTCTGACACTGCTTCTGACTTATAACTGGAATTTCACTAAGCCTAAAGAGATTAAAACACAACTTATTTCCACAACTCCTTCAAATACCCTTTCTTTGTTCTCACTAATTCAAGAAAGCCAGTGGTGTACAGGAACCTCATAGAATTAAGGAGTTATTTTTCAGGACATAGTCAACTGCCCATAAAGCACATTAAAAAAACCCCGACTTCAAACTACTCTGCTTCAACAGAATAATCCGAGTTGCCTCACATACACTAAGGCCTAAAAAGTCTCTCTCACTGATCAACATGAGCCTTCAACATTTCTTCCACTGTGCCAGAAAAAAAAATAATAATAATAAAAAAATCTGTTCCTACTCAACAAGCAGGGTTTTTTTGAGATACAGAGCCCTCTAACTTAGTTACCTGAATAGGTGCTGGTCTCAGGGCAAATAATTCATTTCGGGCTCCTTTGGTGTAACCATTCATATTAATGAGAATGTGTATCCCATCCTGATGGATGCGGTCTGCTGCTTTTCCATTACATGGTATCTAAAGAATAAATAAATACATAAATAAATGTTACTTTTGTTTTCAGTCTTTCAGTATTAAATGTGGTTAGCCATCAGTGTACCAATAGATAAATGTCAACTGTATAATGTAATTAAGATTTAAATCTCTTTACTCCTGGTTTTACACAGGTGTAAGTCCTCAACTCAATCAAACACACCTCTGCTGAAGCCAAGAAAAACATAAGTTTGCTATATACAGTAGAAACAGTTGCTGACAGGAATTCTAATTTTGGTACTTGAAGACTGCCTCTGCACATTCAAATGACAGGAACAATACCTAGTGTTGCAAATCTCAGCAAGTCACGCAGAAAAATACCACAAATGGACCACAGAAGAAACTTCAAGCAACACTGAAACTGCTTCAGTTCTTGGCCTAATCAAAGAAGAGCGGAACTTCACACAAGGTATTAACAATGACTTTCAAGAAGAACAGCAAAGCCTTGGAAATTACAATGTGTCTCTTCCTGCCTAATACTGAAAGGTAAAACATTTTGAATAGTTTTAAATTCCTCCAATAATTAATTACATGATTAGTCATTACCTACAAGCAGATAAAAAAAAATATTTGATAGATATCTCTAGCTCAGGAGCGGTAAAACAAAAACCAAAGGCTAGAAACTGATGCTATACAAACCAGAACACCCCCTTGCCCACCCTTTCCTGCAAGGCTAATTAATGATCAAAGCTCATGTAGGGCAAGTGGTAGATTCTCAAACTAAGGTAATACTACATCACATTTTACAGCAGGGTAAAAGCATGCACATAGGCAGTTATATCCCTGAGCAGACAACAATCCGAGTTCCCATCTTACTTTAACTTTCAGTAAGTTACACTACTAATGCAATAGATCACAGCAAACTGTTTCTACCTGTTTGACCCTCCTGTACAAATCTCTAAGAGTTGCACTGTAACCTTAAAATACAAGTTTGATTCCTCAAGAATTTCAAATAAGAAAACTCGGTGTATCACTGGGCAAAGGAAAGAATTTTTCCTAGACAGCTGTTAAGTGCAACAACAAATATGAAACTGCTGCCCTGTTTTGCTATGACCCAGGGCTTTCACCATCCACAGTTGCAAAAGCAGGGGGGACAGACAGCTTTCCACAACCAGAACTGAAGTTCGTTATTCCAAAAGAACGTTTTCAAAGACCAACTTTGCAAAATCCATCTCAAAAAACAATTCCGCTGACATCAATTCATCACTTTTACTTATGAGAGCAGGTTCTGAACAACATGATGAATTTAAAAACTACATGCAGGTTTTACCTATCACCTAACCTGAGACTGTCCAGGTGCTAATTATCCCATGTTGCTTTAGGGTTTTACCAGTTATTCTGGGATAATGTAATGACTCCTTGACTTCTGTGTATACTGAAATCCCCATCAGTTTCCACAGGAACTGAAAAAAAAACCAAACCAACCACCCCTAAATGATACCAAACCAGCCTTTTGACAGAAGGGCAAAATACCCCCATTAATTATTAAGCCTCTGGAGTAAAGCAAGCTTATGTTTGAAGTTGTGCGTTGTGGGTTTGTGCAGTGGGTTTGGTAGCAGGGGAGGGGCTAGTGATGGCTCCACTGAGTAAAAGTTCCCTGGGCTCCAGGTTTGCTCTGGCAGTGAGGGAGGGGCTACAGTGATGGCCCCTGTGAGAAATCACTGCAAGTTTCCCCAGCTCCAAGCCAGACCCACCCCTGGCCGAGGCTGAGCCCACCAGTCTCTGCGAGGAAGGTACTGAAGAGGGGGCACAGTGCACTGAGCGGCGGTGCAGTCCCAGGCAGGGCCCGGCCCGGCAGTGTCTGCAGCTGCTGCCTGCCCACCTGCCCAGACTCTGCTGCACCACCATGGCCCACCCCTCCCCAGCCTCTGCTGCACCACCATGGCCCAGCCGACCCAGCACACACCCCACCCGAGAGCCAGGAGTTTCTCAGAAGCCAGGGAAAGAACCTTCAGCAGAGAGAGGAGTGGGATGTGAGAGAAACAACTACACAGACACAAAGGTCAGTGAAGAGAAAGGAGAGGGACGAGGTGCTGGAGCAGAGATCTCTCACAAGTCTACGGAGGACCCCATGTGGGGAGAGGTGGCTGCACCCACCCACACAGTCTTTGATAATTCATGGACATTTCATGGTGGAGCAGACACTACACTGTAGCCCGCGGAGGACCCCATGTTGGAGGAGGTGGCTATGCCTGAAAGAGGCCATGACTCCGTGGGAGGGACCCACGCTGGAGAACTGCGGCCCGTGGGAAGGACTCACATTGGAGCAGTTTGTGAAGGATTGTCCTGTGAGAAGGACCCCACGCTGGAGAAGGGAAGACTGTGAGGAGCCCTCCCCTGAGGAGAAAGGAGCGGCAGGGACAACATGTGATGGACTGACCGCAACCCCCATTCCCTGCCCCCTGCACTGCCTGAAGGGGGAAAAGGTAGAGAAATTGTGGAAAAAAGCCTTTGTGCCAGTGGAAGAAGGGAGGGGTGAGAGAGAGGTGCCTTTTTAAGATGTAGTTCTCATTATCTTGCTCTGTTTGACTGTCAACAAATTAAACTGTTTTTTCTTTTTCCCCCCAAGTCTTTTTTTTGTGCCCATGACCATAAGTGGTGAGTGAACCCTCCCTGTCCTCAGTCCACAAGGTTTTTACCTTTTGTTCTCCCAATTCTCCTCCCCATCCCACCAGAGGGGAGGAGGGAGCGAGAGGCTATACATGGTGCTGCTGGGTAGCCTCAAAACCACAACACTGTGGCATCATAACACTTGGATAGGACTATTACCTTAAGATCTAATGGAACAGTTATTCAATATTGCTAATATTACTTTTCACACAGAGGTCACGTAATAACCACTGCATCCCAGGTAAGGCACAACACCAATATATATACAAAGTTCTGAATTCCCAAGACTTAACATCAGCCTAATTCAAGAAGTGATTGCGACTAAAAATCCGAAACTACAGGCTGATGTCTGCCTTCATTTAGGTTTGCTAGAAGGTCGATGCATCAAAAAAACCTCACCTGAGACAAGTCAATGAAATGATTTGCTTCAGCCATCACTTTTACACGGAAGTTTGTACCATCATCAGGACTCAGGGCATAACAGAATACCTAGAATATGAGGCACCAAAAATTGAGTACCTGCAACAACTTGCCAATAAAATAACTTTACTGTAAAGCACATGGTATTGCAAGTTTAAATTACATTAGCAAAATTGCACCTATATACTATATTTATTCTGAGGAATTTACCAGTAGTTGCGAAAGAAAGTCCAAGAAAAAGGGACATTGGGCATGACACACTCCCACCAGGCCCCAGCTCTACCTAGTTCTGGTGCTAGAGTATGGCACTGCATCTTGCACAGACATACAGACAATATTCTCATCAGTGCAAGGTAAAGTAATTTTAACAAATAGATTTGCATACGCATTAAATTCTCTAATAACACCTTTTACAAGACACCTTTGAATTTGTAATTAGTGAGAATCAGAATTATGAGTCAGGTTGAGAACAGACAGTAAGCTTTGGGAAAACTTTTTTAACAGATTCTTTAAACAGTAACTAGTTCTCTCCAATTAAGAAACTGCAAACTTACCTGAGAAACTCAAGGTTGAGTTATGTAAACAGGCATCTTTAGCTAACCTATCACATATAGATATAGAACAAATAGAACCAATATGCAGAGAATTTATTATCTTGCAGGACAAAAGAATGGTTTCAGTAAAATAACAGATAACTTCTATTTAGTATTTAAATTAAGCTCTGTAGAGCTTTATAAATCCAGAAATAAAAAGACTGCCCTTTGTCTTGAGCTGATTCAAGGTTAAATGGTATTTTCTCCCCAAATCCCCGTGTACCCAGACCACCAATTTAATTGTTTCATGAAAAAGCTTGCTTCATAGTCACACCTCTGATAACAATTCAAGCACACAGCTTTGCCACAAGGACTTCAGACCACATAAACTTCATGACCAGGAAAAGAAAGCATGAAGGTAGGGGGAAAAAGCCCAAAACTAAACCAAACCAACAAACCAAAAAAAAAAAAGATGAATAAACACTTTTGCAAGGAAAGACTTGCAACCCTTTACAAAGATAAGCAAATTCTCACTTATTGGAAAACAGAAGCTCAAAACCAAGGCAATTTAAACAGTCATGGGGCAAACAACATAACTGGGAATTAGTTCTATTTACAGCCTCAATCCCTTCACATGACCCCCAAAAAAATATAGATGCAACTGTCTCTAGCATTGCTCAACTGTATACGCTCTTTCTGGAGTAACTGTAGTGTATTATTTCCTTTTGAAAAAAGCAGTAGCCAGAACAAGCTGAAATTCATGTTTGTGATTCAGGTATCCCAGAGAAAAATACATGTAAAAAAAAAAACAGCAGCAGAGTGTGAACAAAAACCAGATGCATATCTGTAAATCAGAAGTAAGCAGGTAGTAGTAGCTTGATTCTGAAACACATCTGCTCAAAGAACAGAAGCTAAAGCTTAAAAAAAAGTTTTCAGTGGGCCACAAACCTTACCTACATTAATTGTAAGGACAGGTATCTAATTCGCCTACCTTCTAAATAATACTTAATATTGGTAAAGGAGGATGACTGAGGCTGGAGAACTCTTCAACCCATGAAAAAAAGCCCCCCTCAGAAAAGGGGGGGGGTGGGAAAATGTGCCCTTCCCTAGTTTACCTGCCTGCACCAAGAAAAAAGGTGACACAGCTGTATTTAAAGCTTTAACCATGGCATTTATATTTTTACCTCAAATTTGTCTGGGTTATGCATGCCTGGGATTGACTGCATGAGGTGTGAGGTTGGATGGTTTCCAAAATCAGAGCTCACATAGCCAATACGAAGTCGACCTTCACTGGCCTTCAGATCTTTGGGATGCTCATACGGTGGCTTGTGAAGAACATTAATCTGTCAAGGAAATATACACACCTGTTTATAAACTCAGGAATGAAAACCAAATGCTAAACAGACGGCCAAAAAACCCCCAATAATTTGTAGAATTAGCCTTAACCCACATTCAAGAAAGTGGTCTGTGGGCATCTGTTGTTTCAAATCTGCATTATATGTATTGCATTGGAGCCAACTGTAACATCCACAAACTGTGTTATGTCATGTACCTACATTCAGCCAAATAAAGACAGACACTACTGCAAGTTAACATTTCTGCTTTCCTAACAGCTTATTTTTTAAGTATACCACCTCTGATTATTAAATATACTAATACCACCTCTCATTATTAAATATACTAATACCACACCACTACAACCAGGAAGTTCTCAAACTACAAGCCACTCGTGACCAGAACAGTATTTCTGTGAAGCACCACAGCATGCTTTCCGTCCTCATGCTCAACATCTTCCCCAGACATCAGCTTGTCGCCACTATCATCGACAGGATTACCAGGCTATTGACAAGCCAGTTTGAAAGCTAAGTGTTATCTTCCGATGTCTGGGATCTTTACATTAGCTAACCAGATCCTTACACTGTCTGACAGCATATTTTCAATTATAATTGGCACCCTGCTCAAGTAGTCCATCTCAACATTCACAAGCGCCAACAGCTATGACTCACTGGTTGAAGATAAAAAGCTGCATCAAATTTTAGTTGAAGAATTTGCCATCAACTGCAACTGCACTCTTCACAGCTTGAGGTGCTGTGCAGTCTCATGGAAATGGCACACAGTTAAGTAATTACAACAAGAGAAGATAATGTTTTTGGAAGAATCTATTCTGTACACAAAGTACTCCAAAACAGAACCACAATGAATACTCAAGTATTTCCTATGATGATGCATCACCCCTGTAACAGTGCTGCCATCACCACTAAAACAAGTGCATTTGGAAATCCCAGAGCCACAATTATTTGGAAATCCCAAAAAATATTTACAAGAATTATTTGGAAATCCCAAAGCTCACACTTTCCACCAAGTATTCACTAGAGGCAAGGTCAGGTTCCAAGCGCTACAGATGCTGGAAAGGACTACTAGATTTTGAGAAATATTATCACAGAACTGCCCGGATCTGTTTTACTGGCAAGAAAGAATAATTTACTCACTCTGCTTTTCCAAAACACCCCTCACATTTACTTTTCAAAACTAGATGAGTAACACTATGTCCTACCTCCCTTCAGGTCACTGACTCAGAAACCTTAGGAAGGCTAATACTATGCGAGTATTGTATTTGCAGTAGGAATAGGCAAAACCACAAAGTACTTCAACCACAATTGGCCTGTATAAAACCTCCTACCTTGTCCAAACATAGATTTCCATGTCTCTCAGCAATAGCCTTCCTAAAACTGTGAGAAAGGGGATACAGCATGCTGTGATGTGGATGGACAGAAGGTAGTCTGTTTTTCTCCAGCTGATCAGCTACAATGCTAACCAGCTTCTTCATTCTTTCATCATAGTCTGTCCAGTCACAGACAATCTAGAAAAATGAAAAATTAAAATAATATTAGAACAGCTTCCTTTGATCTATATATCTATATTTCACAAGATCAGACTAACGCTTCTTCCAAAAATGGAAGCTAAATCTTCAGTAATTACTGTTGATAACTGTATAATCCACACTGAGCTGTTGGAGCAGGTCCAGAGGAGGGCCACAAAGATGATCAGAGGGCTGGAACAGCTCCCCTATGAGGACAGGCTGAGAGAGTTGGGGTTGTTCAGCCGGGAGAAGAGAAGGCTCCAGGGCGACCTTATAGTGGCCTTCCAGTACCTGAAAGGGGCTACAGGAGAGATGGGGAGGGACCTTTTACAAGTGCATGCAGTGACAGGACTAGGGGTAACGGATTTAAACTGAAGAGGGCAGATTTAGACTAGATATTAGGAAGAAATTCTTTACTGTGAGGGTGGTGAGGCAGTGGCCCAAGTTGCCCAGAGAAGTTGTGGATGCCCCATCCCTGGAGGGGTTCAAGGCCAGGCTGGATGAGGCTTTGAGCAACCTGGGCTAGTGGGAGGTGTCCCTGCCCATGGCAGGGGGGTTGGAACTAGATGATCTCTAAGGTCCCCTCCAACCCAAACCATTCTATGATCCTACCTTCTGATTTAAGACTTAAGTCTAGTCTTTACATTTAAATTAGTGATTGGTTGAGGTGATCAAGCTTAGAATTTGCTCCAGAGGAATCTTAAGAATTACAATCAAAACTTCATCTTCCTCACCTGCAAACAGTGGGCCAAGTTGCAGTAGGCATCTGGGAAATCAGGTTTCAGTTTCAGAGCAGTGCGGTAAGAGGCAATGGCTTCCGGTATATTCCCTGAATCCTGCAAAGACACAGAAATGAGCCCACAGATAAAAATATACTCAGGGTAGAGTACTCACAGTGCCCCACCACACCCTAAGAGTGAATCATTCACATGTGCTACCTTGTGAATAGAGGCCAGGTTACTGTGGGCATCAGCAAAAGCTGGGTTTATCTGAATGGCACGGGTGTAGCACTGTAGAGCTCCTTGAACATCCTGCATCTCCTTCAAAGTATTTCCCATATTAGAATACGCATCTGCAAATGTGGGGCTGATTCTGGGAAATAAACATAATGTATGTCACAAACAATAAAAGCTCCTCCTCCAATGAGAAGCCATACCCAAACCACACTTTTTGGTTTGCAAAGCAACTATCTGAATTAAAATATGCTACTGTAAGTCACTTTCTGTACCAATCTGTGGAACTTTTCTGTTACAAAAGGCTTGGACCATTACAGAGAGTATCCGTTTACCTAATAGCCTCTTTGTAATGCATCAGAGCTTCCTGTAGCTTTCCTTGCTGTTGCAGAACACTTGCTAAATTTGAATGCGCAGCAGCAAACTCTGGAAACACCTGTAAGAAAAAGTGGAATCTGTCTGTAGACCATTTAAAAAAAGTGCTTGTGGATTTCTTACTCATCTTTTTGTATGACTTACATCTCTTCCTCCACTTATATTCGATGAGGGAAAACAACCTATGTTTTACTACATGTTCCCAACTTCAATCCCCCACCTGTCCCTCACCACATTCAACTGTACCTCAAGAGCCTTCCTATAAAGACGGACAGCTTCCTCAATATTCCCCTGTTCCCGTTTGATGTTTGCTAGATTGTTGAGAGAATCTGCATGAGTGGGACAAAGTCGAAGAGCTGTGTTGTAGCATTCTTCTGCTTCTACCACCTTCAAGAAAAGGGTTAATGTTAACACGGTAATATTTGTTGTAACAGAACTGTTTATGAGAAGTCATTATATAATCACTTTTAACAGGTTCAAGCTGGAGATTTCCCAAATTATTTTTCCTTATGACTAACTAAATGAGGGTAAGATCGCATCTTAATAAAGTTGGTGACACCTGGTGTCTAAAATAAACACTCACTGTACTTTTAAAAAAGGAAAAAAAGCATTCCTTACACTTCCTTTCTCCTTCAAGGCGTTGGCCAAGTTACAATAGGCGTCAGGGAAGTGGGGTTGTAGTTCAATAGCCCTCCTGTAGGTGTCTATTGCTAGGTCTATTAGTCCTTGCTCATAATACACACAGGCAAGGTTGCCATGCACAACTGCGTGATTTGGACTCAAACTCAAGGCTCGTAGGTAAGCTGCTACAGCTCTGTAACAAGAAAAAGAAGGTAAAGAATAATGCATGGAGCAGCAACAGTATTTACCTTGGTCATAAGAACAACTTATATAAGAAAAACCAAACTTCAAGGGATATGTATTGTGAACATGCACTGAAAACACTGAAGAGTACTGCCTGAATTAAAAGCCTAATCAAGGAATTAATTATTATTAATAATGTTATTTTAAAGCTATGCTAAATTCTGTAATGACTAGCAAATTAGAAGAAATACTTCTTAAAACAGGAATGTTTTCCTCCCACTTGATACTTGTAGAGCAATCAATGTAAGTCTTCTGGGAAAAAAAGTAAAGCTTTAGTCTACTTACTTTTAAACACTCTTCATTACTAGGGTAAGCACGAGACATTTGCTCAGTTTTTTTCTAGTTTATTATTCAATTGTAACAATATAAATAATATTTGACATTGTTACAAGTTTCTATTCCCTCTGCTAACCTAACACATGTATCATGCTCTATTTATACTTCAAACTTCACTTTGTTCAAAAACGAGATCTTTAATTATATGCTCCTACAGCACTACATAAATGACTGATGTATTCAAGTACCATTTCTAGAAAAACCACAACAGTATACATAAAAAGTAAATTCTCAAACAGGTGATGTAAACTCTAAAATGATTAGGAAATATGCACCTGTTTGGTCCATTAATTCATGGTTAAAATGGAAATCACTGCAATGCAACTGGTTAGAATAACTCATCTGTTCCCTGCATGCTTTTATTACATTTGGTGCTACAAACCACAGCTACCAGAAATTATACTCCAATTAACAGATGCAATATAACTGCATATAAACTACAGACCCTCATCTTCTTTCAGAAACAAAAGTAAGATTCATGTATCAGATTAGAGGTCTCAAAACAAGCTAGTTCAAAAAGACATCAACAGTACTGCAACCCCATGCAATAACATAATGCCAACACATAAGAAATACAAAATGTTCAATCAGATGCTTAGCTGAATTTCAGCATTTCGGCTCGTCTTAAATAGAAGGAAAATTTTATCAGAGACACACTTGCATATCATGTCTTGAACCACATAATGGAAACAGAACTCAAGTGTTCATGCCTTCCTCAGACATCTTGTCTTCACCCATCCCCAGCTTTGATTTCACATCTATTTTCATCAGCACCTTCAGAAACACTAATTTTTAACATTTTATTAGGTACAGGAAAATAACATAAAGGAACACATACCACAGGAATTTTTTTTTTTTACTCTAGCAACCTGCTCTGTATGCATTACATGCATACATGGCTTATTCACTTGCTTGACTTACAGCAGAAGTCTTTGGTACACTGTCCGAAGAGTTCCATCAGGAACCTCATTTGTGTTTTGATGTATCTGACAGGCCACTGACAGCAACAGCACTTATCTGCTTACCTGTCAAATATCCTTGCCTCCTTCAGGACATTTCCCAGATTGATGTAAGCATCCAAAAAATTTGGGTCAAGTGTTACAGCCTGAAAATATTTTTAAAGTAACAGTTTTGAGCATTAATGTAAAAGCATTCTCTATGAAACCTAGTTGGGTTTTTCGGTCTTTTGCCTTTTTTTTTTAATTTGACAAACCCAATCTGTAAGCATCTAAGACTATCAATAACCTAGTAAGGAAGAAAAACTTAAGTAATACAAAGCAATCACAGAGCAAAGTTATTTATTTGTAGAAACAACAGCATACACTACCTTCAAATTTATTAATTTGCTTACTTAGTTGGTTGCAACTACTGCAGAATAAAGTATTAAACACTTATTTCATGTTAGGCTGATCATACTTAATATTCCTGCCTACCTATGCTATGCTGACTTTAATTTGTTTTTAGGGGAGAAAACCCTAAAAAACCTTATCTATATCCTTTATCTACTGCATAATAAGACAGCATTTTAAAACTTTGGCAGCCCAGGAAAAGAAGGACAGTTTCACAAGAGCGAGAAAAGAGTAAATGCATCATTGTGTAGGG